AGCCTTCATTTCGTCGGCAATTTCCTTGTATAGTTCGACCGTCTCAAGCGCAACCCTGGTTGGCATTCTGCCAAAACACATAGACTTGTCCAAAAGAGGCGATAATACTTGCTGCGATGTGAAATGTCTTCTCTTCTCCGGAAAGAGCTATACTGGAGGGAAAGAAAGTCCCCATCCTTCCACACTATTTTGAGAATAATTCGGTCCGAATGGCATGCGTGTTTGCGCTCACGGTCGCGGATGAGGCGGTCGAACTAAGCAACGGTGCTGCCAACATCTTTGCGTAGCAGTGTCTGTATGCTGCAGGTGGCGGCCTATTGCTCGGTATAACCACCTAACTTCACGCAACCCTACAATGCGACCACGTTCAAAGTCGTTTATTTGTCTGTAGTCTTCTATATCGTCGTAATGCATCTTTAATTGCTTCTTTATAGAATTACAATGGCCGCAACAAAAAAAGAAAAAAAAAAAAAATTCCGCCTCTGTTACTAGTTTTATACTTTGCGAATTGCGTTCTAGAAATGCGCACTTTGATCGCAATTCCTTTTCATTTGCCTTGAAACGTTTTTCATTTTCATGTTCGATCAAGATGTTTTTGCGTACCAAATTTCGTCACGATCGCAAAAGTCCTTCTTGGTACTCCGATTGTTTTGCAAAAGAGTGTATTTAAACTAACAAGAAACACATTTATTCAGGATAATTTTCAAAATTTGCAAACTGCGTTGCCCTTTTTCTCGCAGAACAAATACAAGCATTATAATGCAAGGAAGGGATTTTTTTATATTTTTTTGTAATTGCGTTTTATTTCAACCAAACCTCATGTACTGTGGAAGAAGAAGTATTTCATACTTGATAACTGGACAAAAAATACGTTCCTGATAATATTATTTCCCTTTGAAAAACTGTAATTTCTTTGAACTATGTTCTAAGATTTTTTCATCTATTTGATGATAATAAATATATCGCATTTATTACAACCATTTAAATATATCCGGTTCATCTATTGTGACAATATTTTTCCATTTTTGTTCTAATAATTGTTTTTCCATAGAGAATTCTGAGGCGCATTCAGCTTTCGGCGATATGTTGAGGAGAAAGACGATGCGCATTACGTTTTTTCTCCTTTGTAAGATCCAAATCAGCATTAAACACTTCATTTACAGTTGACATTGAGCATGTTAATGATTATTCAACTGTCCTTTGACTTCGCAGTCTTTCTTTTAACATTAAATTTCTTACCTTGTAAGGATTTTAAGTTTTACTAACGTTTATTTTATTTTAAAAACTTTACTATCCCCTCTTGTTTTTCACTTCCGGCCAGAATAAACGCGGTTAGTTTTAGTATGCAAATTGAGCTTGCAAACTGTTAAGTATTTAAGTTGTGGCTTTTAGCTGAGAAGAAGTTAGAGAGAGAGAGAGACTTCCCCCCACCTTATTTCACGTGCGATTTTCAGTCAGTTGCTGTCCGCCTTTAAGGCCAGAAATTTAGTCCTCTTGATATTAAAGAGATATTGTAGTTTTCCCACATTCTGCGTACTACATACTTAAATATTAAAAGGCCAATTCTCGCGTTAATAGTTTCTGTAAAGCATTTGAGTTTAGCTCTTCTTAATTTAGTTAGTTTGTAGTTCTTATTTTTTACGTTCAGACCATAAGTACTGGTCTTTGTATCCCGAAGTGCGGGAGCAGCTGTAAACTGTGAAGAATAAAGAATAATAAAATTAAAACCTTCCCATCTGTGTTGTGTCTTCTACAATCTCAACGAACATAGTTTAAAGTAAACTCACTGTTCTACACCAGGACACCAACATGTTTGCCAAAGCAACCAGACGAAACAGTAGTCTTCATAACCTCTGGAAAATTCCAAACAGTCCGGTTTTTCGTTGGATATATAAGAGTATTTTAAACAATTTTTCTCCTTGAAGCGAAACTCTGGCCTTTTTTTCTTCCCTTTCTTACTGACAATAATATCTATCGTTGCTTTAGATACCGAAAAATCATGGCTTTCACAAGCATGTTTTAATAACTAAATACGATTTTGCTTAAATGCTGAAAATGCATCGTATTTAATAAGAAACAGAAGTAGTTTAACCTTATTTGAATCTATTTCTTTGTATAAATTACGATAAGGTTACTCAAATAGGGAAAGAGTTATGAAAATTAAAGATTTTGAGCAGTAGCGGTCGAGATCACTCAATTTAAATTCAGTTACACTACACGCACACGACTCTCTATGTAATTTCAGTTATGACAATGGTTTTGAACCAAAGGAAGAGCAGTCAGTGTTTCATCAGTGTTTCATCGGAAAATCACATTCTTTTTAAGCTAAACCGCAGCTTTTGTTATTAATATCATCTGAATTGAGTTTTGCTAAGTAAATAAAAAAGTGACCACTAAGAAAATAAAATTTGATATGCTTGCAAAATTTAGAAAAAATAAAAAATAAAAGATTCAGATTTTCACGGATTCAAAAGGACTCTTTTAAATTTTAATATTGTTTTTTCTGTAGAAATTATCAATAGACATGGCCCAGACAGAGTAACAAAACATTTAATAGGATATTAGATGAATATGCATTTAGGCTAACATGGAAATGTTATACATCTTTTGTATGTATAAAAATGAAAAAGATATATAATGTAATTCTATAAAAAGCATTTAATACTTTTAATCGTAAATTAAATGCATTTTTCGGATTTTAAATCGGATTAAAAAGTAGTAAAAAATAATCATATTTTTAAGAACTGAATTTATTGCTTTTTTAAATAGTTAGTTATTTAATAACAGACAGATTAAATATGAAAGAATACTATTTTACGTTTTTTCTGAATGGCAGCAGGACTCGAATGAAAAGTGAAACAACGCAAAGCCGTGTTCGGGACTAATAGCCGTTTTGGGCTAAAAATGAACTTTTCCAACGGTAATTCAGTTTTCTTTGATAAATTAAAATGACCATCATTCTTCCTGAACATTTTCGTGTTCGTACTGGGAACTTAAATATTATTTGGTGTTCTTAGTGTATAATAATTATGCCTTTCACATATCCGTAGCTGTTAAAATGTCCTTGCCTTTATGATCCCCTCCTTTATTATTTACAGGACTGTATTAAGGACAGAAACGCACGCAAAGGATTTCTTTCCAAGGTGTAACACGCATTCATGGAGGAGTCTTTAGGGTGAACTGAAGCTTTCTCAAGGACTCTTTTTTTTTTTTTTTTTTTTTTCCCAAAACGGTTCGTAAAATGGATTTAAAATGGATTCAGAAGAGATTTTTTTCATGACGTCTATACGTACATTCGTATGTATGTATACCCCTCATAACTCAAAAACGAGTATCCTTAGAGCGTTGAAATTTTGTTATACGGATCTAACAACAACATCTAGTTATGCAACTTTATTTGTTGTTACAATCGGCCGCACCATATACACAAACACACTCACACATACTCACACGCACACACACTATATGTTACCCGGCATGGTGAGTTCAATTTTTTGTTTTTATGTGTTGGTAAATTGTGCATTTTGTCCTTTAAACATGATTGGATTACATTGTTCTTACGTTCTGTTTAAGGCTTTTATGGCTTTATTTAATCTATATGCAATAGTTTAGAATTCTCAACAATTTAAAAGTTTAACTGTCGGTAGGTCTATTTGTCGCTAGGTCTAACTATCAGTAGGTCTATTTGTTTACATTTGAAACTCTTAGTAGTGTAGTGAATTAAGTTAGTTGGTGCCCCAATATCAGTATTGTTTTTGCCCAGTGGGGGCAGAAGTTAACTTTAAATGTTTGTGCACCGAAAATTTTGTCTTCCTGCCCATTTACCAAATCCGTTACCCGTTTCGGAGTAGAAACTCTAATTTTAATGTCAGCATTTTTTTCTTTAACTGTATTTAACAGTATTTTGAGATTTTCGGTTTTTCTGTATTTTGCAATTCTTAATGAATATGTTTTGAGTTTTTATGTATTTTTGCTTTGCCACGAAGTGAGAACCGAATTGACTGAATGAGAAATATATCTCTAACAAAATTCGAGGAAATAAGTTTAAATGAAGTGCAACAAGAAATATGTGTAATTTAAAGGCCATGCAAGTCATGCAGTGTTCGCATCGGATATTTTTGAAAACCTTCATGAATAGTTCAGGTTTAGCCATGGTGTTCATCGGCTTTATTTCGCTACTCGCAGTCACTCTGCCTCAGGAAAAAAGAAAAACAGCTGATGGAAATATTTACTGAGAGCCACAGCTAATAGGAATGTTCACTCCTGCCACTGTGCTGCAAAATTTAGTGTGTATCGATAATCGAGAAACATAAATCAGATTCTAGTGCCTAAACGCTCAGCATATGATGATGCATTCGGTGATGAAGTGTATTCGATTAAGTGTGGTCTTACTTTGGTTGTTGCTGCATAAGTTTTGAAACACCGTCTTTACCCGCCATTGCTGGCAAACAGTATTAAAACAAACTATTGCAGTATATAGAATGCCATCGTTTAAATTTTATAAATGTTTGATGCCATAATGTTTGATACCACAACTACTATTTAAATTTAATTGTAGTGTCAATTTGCACTTTTTGAGAGATTTACTGAATTTCAATAAACTTTGAGAATTACTAAAAGATTTTAAATTATGTATTTTGTTATCAGAGGGCGGTGTAAATTTCAAAAATTACGTTCGTCTGCAATGAAATGATTTACGGAACCATGCATAAATGTTCTTACCATCGGCACTTTGCTCAAAAATCTGCAGTCTTTTAGGAATTTAAAGAAAGATATATGTTCTCTGAAACCTATATAAACAATTACCGTTTAGTATCATAACTCAATTGTTCTGAAAATTAATTATCTGTAAAACTTTGAAAGTGTTTTCCTTGAAAGAAACAATCTTGCAGATTCGTGAATTTGGGATAGTGTTGAGAATAAGTAATACATTTAGAGCATTTTATCATATTTCAAAGATCTGAAGAACCGACAAAAAGAAACGAAAAAAGGACACGAAATATAAAACGAAATTAAGTATTTATTTACAATGAATTGATATGCCTAAATTTCAATGCACAAAATTTGATATCAATACAGCAAACATTTTTCGTTCTCTTCCTCCTTGCGTCGTAGTTAGCTCAATCAAGGGATTTAATTAGAATTTATCATGAATTTCATTTCCGAAATCTATCACACAAGAGCAACTCCTGAGGTTAAAGATTTTAATATATCCCAAATCTTCTGTGCATTCCATAATCTAGGAAGAGAAAAATCATATCTCTGATCAGAAAATAAACATTACTCGTGAAATTATTTTTTTTGAAAAAAAAAAAAAACATGTATGTAAAATTATTTTAAAATTTGCAGTATATGGAATAGTAACTTTAGTTACCATAATAACTATAGTTAACTATAGTAAACTTTTTTAATCGTATATTAAAAAAAGTTTAATGGGATTTTCCATTACGTGAGAATGATTTGAGATAATTTAAACAGTTGTTTAGGTGATTAAATGCATCAGACTTTCAGGAAAAATGCTTAATTTAAAATAAAAGAAACTGACAGAAGCTTATGTTTTTTTCTTCTTTTTAAACCATATTTGATAGTTTTAAATCTTAAACCTTTGTGAACGAATATTAAATGTGTAAATTGATCAGCAGTGATGAATGAGGTGATATAAAATTAGGCATGTGTCTGGATACGGAAGTAATCAAAATGTTGAAAGCTTAGTACAGGATATTATTATGGCAAAAAATTGATTCTAAAAAAAAAAGATAGAGTTTTTTAATTTCAAACAGATGATTGTATTGCTATAGAAAATGAAGCATTTTTAAATGAAAATAATTTAAAATTTCCTATAAACATGGCCTAATATTACTATAAATAAAACAATGCGGATTCTCAAATATAATGCGAAAAGTATCTTTTGCCCCGTTACAATAACAGTTACTTTAAGTTAACAATAAAGTCGAAAACAACAACAAAAATAAATAGGTTATATCAGCAGATATATATGATACGAATACAAAAATATTCTTACTTTTTTTTTAAATGAATTAATATTTAATGAAGAGCTAAATGTCCAAGACCATGTCCCAAGGCTCCATGGGCCAAAAGACCATGTCCATAGAGACCAGGGGCGACTAAGCCATGAGCCCCAGCAAGACCGTAGCCTAAATGACTAGCGCCCAACAGACCATGAGCTAAGGGAGCTGCAACAGCAGCATGTGCGAGTGGGGCGACGTGGTTGACGACAGGGGCGACGGGAGCAGCGTAGGGGCTGGCGACGAGAGCAGCAGCTGGAGCACTGGCAGCAGTTCCAGGTTCGTTGGTCTTGACGGTGGCACGGAATCCGAGACCATCAGCGACATAGTCGACGCGCCTGGCTCTTCCATCAATGTCAGCAATGGTGTAAGATCCTTTCTTGTTACCATGAGCATCGCCTACTTCGGATCGGGAGTTACCGGCACCAAGACCATCAACTATATCGTATCCGAAAGCATAGTTTCCGATAGCCTGTGAACAAAGAGTTGAGCAGTTCTTAAAACAGACTGACAGTATATTTACTAGAAATTGATCAAATAATGTACAGAATTATAGTTTGGAAACTGAAGTATTTGAATAATACATATAGTTTGTATTTAAAAATCTTGAGAGAAAAATGCTTCTACTAAAATGATTTCATTTGTAAAGTTATATGGTTTTAAAAAATCTCAGTCTGATAAGTGCGACATAAAATGCATATTTTGTTAGTAAAAAGCTACAATGCACTGAAAAATCAGAATTTCCATCAAGAAGCGAGAAATAAGGTTACTGATGCTTTCGCGATAATATCGAAATTACTTTTTGGCCATTTTTTATACTGCTGGGGGGGGAGAGACTATGAAAAGTATATGGTGGTATATATTTACAAATTTGCTATGGGGAAACAAGAAGAAAAAAATGAATTGCAGTTTTTGAAATATACATTACGTGGCACATAATTTTAAACCATTTTTCTTGAAATTAACATAATTAATATGACCAAAACAATTAAATTTTGATCAGGTTATTATTTAAGAAGGGTTCTTGATGTATTTTTATCCGTTTAATTTTTCGTTTATTTGCTTATTTTTGAGCAATTAAGTACTTACGTCTTGAACTCTGGAACTTGTGCTGGCACCGGTGCTAATTAGGGCTGCATGCCCATGGAGGAGGGCACTAGCGTGAGCAGCTGCGACAGCGGCGCATAGAAGAACGATCTGAAACAATGTATTGTTTAATTAAAAATAAATATTTATATTTTGTTGATTACTACTAATAATACTTTAAGTAATACTATTACAGCTACAATAAACAACAAAAATTACTAGCCTTGAAAACCCAGCTATTAACAACTTCCTCCTCAGAAATGGGAATTTAATACCTTTTAAAATTATGTGGAAATTATCTACTAATTATGAAACTGTCTGCAATTGCTTAAAACAATTTTTTAATCTATCACTTATACGTATTTTTTAATAATTTAATGTTTGATAAAAATTTCAAAGGTTTCAGATTTTAACGGTTAAAGGATTTGTTAAGGTTTTTTTATAAAATATAAAAAATCTTGACATACATTTTTATAATTTTTTCAGTCTTTTCACAGTTTATCGTATCAATGTTCAGTTTTGTTAGTAACATGACCAACAGATTTTTTTCTGTCTTTTTATTATTAATTTTTTTTATGTGCAAACTTAATTTATTCGATATCATGTTCTTGGCACTTACGCCACGAAAAATTCAACTCAACAACAAAATCACAAAATATTTAAAAACAGCATAACTTTAGAATTCCCGACAGACAGTCTCATCCGCTGGAGATCAAACTGTTTCATTTCGTAAAGGGTTGCCACTACTCGCTTTCAGTCAATTTGTTAAAAGCAATGCCATTTTTCTAGCTGGTTATAGTGAAGAGAATATGATTTTAACAGCTGCTTATAGCAACAAATTGCAGTTTCTTGAACCATGAAAATAAGAAATTAATACCATAAATGTTTAAGTAGCTGCGTCAAATTAAACGGCACATGTTTAGTGGAACTTTGTAAAATCATTCTGTAATTACGTTAAAGAACGAATTGCTTAATTACAGGAGCTTCAATCCTTTTTTGTAAGTAATCAACATAATAATTAATACCTTAGGCATTATTTAAAAAGCGAAAAGAACACTCACCTTAGCGAACATGTTGAAAGTCTTTGACGTTAAGTTCGATGAAACTTAATGGTCATCATCATGTGCTGCTCTTATTTATACTATAACATTTCAAGGTTTCCTTAAGGACGTTAAATGGGCAGAAGTAAAATATTTTTTTTTAATATATATATATATATTTTGTTTGGCATTTGCAGCTATTGAGAAACCACACCCGACGTATAGTTTTTGCTGAAATAATTGAGTGACGTACGTGGCCTTCAAAAGAACAAGTCTTTGTAGGAATACCCGTTCATTGACATGCTTTGTAAAGCAAATATTTTCTTTTCATGAATAAAATAATAATGTTATGATCTGTCTGCAAGCACATTTTGGCATAGGCCGTTAAATTAATTAGTCGATAAGAGGCTATTAGTCTCGAAATAGGATTCTGCGTCGATTCACTCTAAACTGCGTATCACTTTTCAAATCGTTGTCACCAAATATTATTACCAAGTATTATTTTTAAAGAAATTAAGCAATGAGGAACCTACATATATGTGAAACTCGAATTGTATATTGTGAAACTGTATATTGTATGTATATTGTGAAACTCGAATTGTGAAAAAAAAAAAAAAAAAAAAAAAAAAACGACGGTATCTAGAGCCATGCAGTATTAAATAACGTGGTCTTTCACCCTAACATGGCCACCTGAAAGCTCGAAATTTCAATTTCAAATTTATTTTATTATTTATTTCATATTTTGTAAAACTTTAATGAGTTTTTTATTAACGAGCTAAGCGATATGAAAGCGAGCAATGTCAACACCGTTCGAAACGAAACATTTTTATTTCCAGCGCTCGAGACAATTGCCATTCGGAAAAATGTAAGCTATTCGTCTTTTAGTTTTGATTAACAAACTCGGATCTGTGAAAACAATGTGTTGCCGCGGAAGTCTCAGAGAATTTTTTCTCTTCTTTTTAATATGATTGTTTCAAAAAACATATATTAATGCCATCAGATGTCTATTTAGAAATATTCAATACTTTTATGAAATTAGGTTTGCTGGACTCATCGTTATATACTTTTTCTTTTTAATGATAACTATTTTAGGCAACTGGGCACGCGAGCGACTTATGTTTAAAAAAATAATACAATAAATATAAAATTACATATGGCAAACTCTAACAATATATCGGGTATTCTAAACATATGCCGTTTTTAAATATTTTATGATTTTGCTGTTGAATTGAATTTTACGTGACGTGCAATGTGATACTTAATAAATCAAGCTAACTCACAAAAAGTTAATAATAATAATAATAAAAAGTTAGCTATCTTAAAAATAAAACTAAATAACGAGGAAAGACTGAAAAAAATATATAGATGTATGTCAACACTTAAAACAATGCATAGGGAATTCTAAACCTATGCTGTTATGCAACATTTAAAACGTTTGTGAGTTTTTGTTGAACGTGAGTTCTAAGAAAGCGATGCTTAATAATAAAACTAAAAAGATTATAAAAAAAGGGGGTTAGCAGGAGTGAGTAGCAGTTAACAGAGCGCGAGCTCAGCAAGAGCGTAAAAACTTTTAAGAAACCCTTCTGAGCGATCGTCAAAGTCTGAAATTTTCAAATTTTTTAAAAATATATTTACTTTTAATATCATAATGTCAAAATCCTTAGTTTGCCTCATGATTAGTCGGTGATATATATTGAAGATCTTAATGACATGCAGAAGAAAGGACGGATCGATAATGGAATGCAGAACTAAAAATTCATGTACGAATTCATGTTTGGAAGACAGAGTATTTGATTAATGAAAATACGGGTAAAATGTATGGCTTATTGGAGATATCTGACAATGAAAAACATCAGGAATAATAATAATATAAAAAAAATATTTAATTCGTTGGAGATAAGATCAGTTGATTATTTATGGTATTGTATTATGAAATTATCAATCTATTTATGCAGTATAGCTGTTTAGTCAGCTAAACGTAGAGCATTTCCATGAAAGAGTGGAAATTGAAATAGTGTAAGAGGAATATTGTTACGTGCATACGGATTCGTAATTCACTACAGTACTCATATGGCCCTTCTCAGTATGATAGAGTACAATTAGTAGCTACTATTTCAATCGATTATGAACCTTAAACACAACGCAATGCGAGCGCATCTAAAGAGCGAAGCTCGAACGGAGATATTTCAATACTCAGAACTCAGCTCTGAACTAAAAACTGAGAATTGATGCTCTGGTCTCATATAGTTTTTTCACGGAGCGGAGAAAAAATTCTAGTACCTTCCATTGGGAGACATATAGGGTTAAAGTTACATGTGAGGGTCGGATACGCTTACACAATTTGGCGATAACAATTAGTCTCCAAAACCATCGCCAGCTTGGCGCTATCTCGCAAACATGCTAATTATTTATCTCAATGCTAAATGGACTTGTAATCTTATTTTTATGGCGAAGTTTCACACTGGATGTCTTTCAAGTTACATTATACAAGTGATACTACAATTTTAAATACAGTTTTTCCAAAATTATTTACATATATACAAAATTCTTACTAAAAAAGTAGTAAGAATATGCTAGTAGTAAGAATTCTTAATACTCACAAAAAGTAATAAGAATATGCAATTCTTACTACTGCTTATTAGGGGAAAATTTTGCGCTTTCTAATACAGATAACGACACTGACAAACAGAAACCCAAAAAAATGAGCATTCACATATAAAAAATTTGTAAATGATATAAAAATAAGTATTCAGCTTTTATTAAGTAGAAATAATGCATGATTAAGGTCTTATTTGGGAAAGAATGAAACAGACAGAAACTGCCCTTTCTTGTAAAACCGAAAATCTATTTCAGATTTAGCTCTTATAACGAAAAGAGGGCTAATGTACGCCTACTGAAAAGCGAAATTACCTGAGGCGAAAAATGCGGTTATCGCTGACAGCTGAAGCATCACGAAGTAAAGAGCAAATTTCGAGTATCATATTTCAACGAAAATATCCATTTTGGCCGCCCTCGAATCCAATTGAACCGTGGTTTTCCGTGACATCTGTAAGTACAGACAAAATAAAGGACTTTTTCCAAAAGAGTGCATTTTTCGCTTTAAAAGTGGTTGAACTATGTTGTTCTTATGTTCCGGTTAAGGTTCTTATGCCTTATCTATATGAAATAGTATTAGAATTATCAACAATTTTAAAGTAGCACTAGGCTTAACGAGGCCACTGTTTGTTTGTATTTGAAACTTTTTGCACAGTGGGGCCAAACTTTCATTTTTGTGCAAAGAAAATTTTGCCTTCCTGCCCGTTTGCCGAATTGCTTGTTTTTACGTAAAATTCTAGTCTTAATTGTAAAAATTGTTTTCTTCAACTGTTTTTAATTGTATTTGGTGCTTTAGATATTTCTGTAGTTTACAGTTTTTAATGAGGGCTGAGCAAAAGAATTGTGTATAACTTAATAGGCCGTTTAAGAGATAACATGGTGTCCCCATCAGATATTTTTATTATCACACTAGAAATAAATTTCTATGATATAAAAAGGAAGCAACAGAGTACTTTATGTTCGAAATGGGATTACCCTTCATTGATCATCAAAGCGTTCAAGATGGCTGTTATTTTGTTTTATGATTATTTCTAAACTTTATTGTTTAATTCTAGATTTTGTAATGTAATTTGCACGTGTGAGAATGTTTGTGCATTTCGTGAATATTTTTCCCAAGTAAAGTAATTGGGCAGAGTCATTCGATTTGTTTTAGCCCAAGTAATTGCTCTGAAACAAATCGAATGACTCTGCTCAGGTGCTGTCCAGACTTGCATTGTATTTGCTACGAGCGATTTAAAACCTTAAAAAAAAAAAAAAAGTTATTCGATCTTTCTCCAGATAGGTTTTAGAAAACACAGAGAGTAAATCTTTTATAAGCGGCTTAAGTGTTTGTCGCCCATAGTTTATTGTTGCCACTCGGAAAAATGAGCGCAGAAAATAACGTTTCCGCAGTTTTTAATTAATATCTCGGCCGATTAAAGTCGTACGAAGATGAGAATGGTATCGATGGATTCGGAGAATTTTTTGGAATCCGAGGATATGCATCTCGAATTTCAACTCGGCGCCGTTCCGTAGATATTCGAGAAAAAAGAATTTGACACATAGCCTAATTCCTCTAATAGGGAAAACCCAAGAAAGAAAGTGGAAAATGTAGGGAAAAATTAGTTTTCAATTAATATCTCGGCTAATTAAAGTCCCACGAAGACGCGAATGGTCAAAATGGCGTGCCACGGACCTGTGGAATCCAACGGTGCGCTTCGCTAAGCCCGGGAGCCAGCCGTTCCGGAGGAGATGATGTTACTTTACCCTATATATATATCCGGCTCAAGTGTCTGTTTATTGTCGATAGTTTATTGGTTGTTTGCGTAACTGTACTAGCCAATGGGGTGAAGTTGCCACGGCACAGGGTTGCCGTTTCAATTGAGACGTAGAGAATTTCCTGTCGAGGCGAGCTTAAACATGATGGAAAGATCTACACGAGAAATGTTGTGTACAAAGAGATCTTTGACATGTGAATTAACATTTTATTATTTAAATCACCTTTATTTATTGAGCTAGCGGTGGCTCACCGCCAGTGGTTTCCTTCATTGCACTCTACTTTAAGCAATTAAGCAAGTAGAAGGGGGAAACCCCGTGGGGCAGTAAACAAAGAGGCGTCCTCGCCGCCTGCCCTGGGTAATTCAGTTTGAATTAGCAGACACTTTTGCACAAATAATTTTAATTACAATTTATAATATCTAGAACAGCGGTCATTTTGTATGACGGCCGGGCTTTTTAGTTTCATATAATCTAAGAAGCGATTATTGTTTCAGCATTGATGCTAGGATTTTGAAATATTTGCCTACAAAAGCAACTCTTTAATAACCCATTAAATGCAATGTGAAATGCTAAATGGAGGAACTGCAGTTAGAATATTTTAAATTTCAGTGTCACTCAGCTAATATCAGACCACACATAGTGGTTTTGATTTATGGAAGTGTCTTTTAAATTTACTTTAAATCTCCGAAGTAAATCTTCTCACAATGTTTTA